AGGATGCTACTCCTAATACTAAAACAGACTTGCTTTGCTTCTGCCCTCTCTGCTTCAAAGTACAGAAAATAATTTGGGATGCTAGACCACCTGATAATGTGTTATTACTCAGGGCTGACCACTGCTTTCGATAAGCACACTCATTAGCCGAGCACATTTACAGACTGCATGCTTCTTAATTAAATCACTGTGCTAAGTAAAACAGCACACTAAGTCCAGAGGGCTGGCCATGTCCTTTCAGGGCCTTTCATCTCTCTTTTATTTTTAATTGAATTTATCTATTTGCTTGTTTGTCAGGGGGCACCTGTGCCACAGTGCACATGTAGGGGTCAAAGGACGACTTGCAGAAGTCAGTTCTCTCCTTCTACCGTATGGTCCTGGGGACTGAACTCAGGTCATCAGTCTTGATAGCAGGCACCTTTGCTCACTGAATCATCTTGCCAGCACCCATCTATTTTCTTACTATGATGTAAATTGCTGTTTTCTTAGGGCCATCTCCTCGCTATTCCCCTTATAAAGATTGAGATCTAAGGAAACACAAATGGTTTTGAAAAAGTAAAAAAGAAAAAATTGTAGTAAGTCCTAGTCTATGTGTATTTACATAAATACTTCATTCAGTCATCAGAATGATACAGTGGAGAACTAGATGTGGTGGCAGATGCCTTTAATCACAACACTCAGAAGTAGAGGCAGGTAGAGCTCTCTGAGCTCCAGGCCAACCAAGGTTACACAGGGAGACATTGTTTCAACAAACAAACAAACAAAATAATACAGCAGAGTAAATATTACTACTGTGCCAACTATACAGAAAGAGAATCTACAGTTCAGATGAAGTAACTCAGTCAGCAGCCTGACATCAACCCTAATACACCCTCAAATCCCCCTTCTCCTTGGAGTGCCACTGTAGCCAGGTCTCCGGGGCACCGTTAACTCTCTGCACTCCACCTCCAAGCCACAGCATCTTTCTATCCTTAGCATTAAGAAACTATATTGGTTTCTACAACACCCATTCATCCTCTTGCTTCCCAAGTCAAATCAATGATAGTCACCCTGGCCTCTAGCTGCTGGCCTCTACCTACTGGTCTCTTTTTAAATCCCTTGTGGCTGGGAATCTGCTTATTTGATGTTACAGACTGTATTACTCAAACATTCAACACTTCAGTCCATTCAACACTTCAGTACCATCAAAGATGAAGAAAGGCATGGTGACCCTTGAAGGATTTTGAGAGACAAACATGGCTAAATATGTGTTTACCTAAATACATAGCACAAGTATTTCTTTAGCCATAGAAAAATTATAAGTAAAAATAATTAACAGCAAGAGATGTACAAATGTGGATGTGAGATGTTATGCTTGTCTCTTGGTTCCCTGCCCAACTGGTTCTCCCTGCTGATGTGAGGTATAAGACGATGGTTCTCAAACTTATGAGTTGCAACCTCTTTGGGAGTCAAATGACCCTTTCACAGGGGTTACCTAAGACCATCTAAACACAGATATTTTTATTATGATCTATAACAGTAGCAAAATTATAATTACAAAGTAACAAGGAAAATAACTTATGGTTGGGGGTCACCACAACATAAGAAACTGTACCAAAGGGTCACAGGATTAGAAAGGTTGAGAAACACTAGTCTAAAAGGAGGAACACAAGAGGTAATGTGTCTGGGTTTTGCCAACAGGTCTTAATTTCAGAGGGTGTTATTAATTATGTATCACAAGCTGTAGCTTTCCTGGGTGGTCACGGAAGACAGGGCAGAAGTAAGGACTATCCAAATCACAATCTGCCTTAAGTCAGGATCTACCTAATTAACAACTACATCTTCATAAAGAGTGTGAACAGAGCAGATAACCAAACAAGAATAACAGTATAGCAACAGTTACGCCTGTTGCTTGCACTTAGTTATTGCTCGCATACAGGCAGGATTAGGAAGAGGAGGAACTGTGCATGCAGCAGATATCAGACATCTGTGCACTGCTGCCTGCATGGCCACCTCCCCAACAGTGCTTGGCACCAGGTGACACGTGCTCCGGGGTATTCCTTTCCTTGAGGACAAATGAGAAACACTGAAATGCAAACTAATCGTTATACTTAAATGAAATGGTGGTTGTGAAACCCCTCCAGAAAAATCTCTCTCCAGCTCCCTATTGTCTACAACATAAAATCTAAACTACCTGCCAGAGCTGAAGCCTCCGGGACCTTACCCCGAGGCTCCCTGTGCCCGTGACTGCTCCCATCTTCTAGCACCCATCAATTCAATCAGAACTCAAGACCACAAGGAAGGCTTTGGAAGTCACTCTTACACGTCCTGCTCACCCTCAAGGCTCAGTACGATCCCAGCTGGCCACCTCCTCTGTGCTTGCCTTAGGATTAAGACAACACTTTTGTAAGTGGTCCACACAGTTCCTCGGCTATGTCAAGCTATGACTTATTTGTGTGCATTGCTGATTACCCCCCATTGTCTGCCCCTTGAGTGCAGAGTCTAAGCTCTTCATGAGCAGCCCCAGCAAGCTCCTTTAAGGACTTTAAGGACACTAACTCATACTTAAAGCTGCTTACTAAATTTCTGATGAAAAGTTCTAGCTCCAAACTTCCACAGACACTGACATCTGCAGAGCCTCCAGAGGCTTCCCCCACTGGCTGTCCATTCTCTGGAGTATTCTGTGAGGCTGTGCATTCTACACATATTCTAGAAGCCCTGTGGCCTCAGGTTTCAGGTGATGCCTTTTCATACCCTCTAACCGCACAGATCTCTGCTGCCAGCATTTCTTGGTCCTCTTGTCTTCCCTTTCCACATTCTGTCCTTGGTCATCTCCTCTTTCTTGCCAGTTTCCTCGTGCTTTCCAGTGTGGGACTACAGAGAGAACAGTGCCCTTTGGGAGTGTCAGATGCCATACCACTGCTATTTTACACATGGGGGTCTTTAGACAATTTAATGGTACTCAATACCTTTGGGCCTCAGTTTTAACCATATATAAGAAGAATTTGAACTAAATCAGTGATAAGACCTTGTATAATTCCCTCAAGAAACTATAAATAATAAAGCAACTTTGTTTTTTGGTTGGTTGGTTGGTTGGTTGGTTGGTTGGTTGGTTGGTTTTTTCAATACAGGGTTTCTCTGTATCCCTGGAAGTCACTCTATAGGTCAGGATGTCCTCGAACTCAGAGATCCACCTCTTCTTGCCTCCCAAGTAATAGAACTAAAGGTGTATGCTGCCATGCCCAGCTATAGCGGCTTTCTAAATTAAATTATTATATAATTTTCATTGTCAATCTTAACTCGTAAAGATAGAAAATAATTCCATCATTTAAAAAACCAGCTTTCTCAAGGTGAAGCTTGATAGCAAAGCACAACTGATTCTCCTCTCAGAACATTTACTACATAGGAAGTCAGCTGAGAGCTTTCAGTAGCAGAGTGTTCACATCTGAAGTAACTACAAGGTCAGTCCACAAAAGCACTTGACCTCTCGGTGGCCCTTCCCCTGGGTGGCTCAGACTATCAAGTGTTAAACAATTTCATTCCCAAGACCCCATGTGAACAACTCTCCTTTGACAGCATAACTAAAACTGAAACAGCACGGTTATCAGCATATCCCCAAACAAGGATGACACACAAATTCATGATGCATTCCATACTTTGTAAAGGTAGTGAGGGGGCTGAGGATGGAGCTCAGTCAGGAAAGTATTTGCCATATAAGTATGAGGACCTTAGCTCAAATCCCTAGCACTCACATGAAAGCTGGTACAGTAGTGTGTGTGTGTGTGTGTGTGTGTGTGTGTGTGTGTGTGTGTGTGTGTGTAATTCCAGTGCTATTCCAGTGCTAGAGAGGCAGAGACAGGCAGACCCTTGGAGCTCACTGGCCAACCAGCTAAGCTAAGTTGATGAGTTCTAGATTCACCGAAGTCCTGGTCTCAAAAAAAAAATATGGTGAAAGGAAAATGAGAAAGACACCCAATCTTGATCACTGTCCTGTATGTGTATATGTACCTGCATGAACACACTCAGACATACACACACACAAATACATATATGTCACATACCAAAAGGGGGGACAAGTTATGTGAAATAAAAAAGCAATAAATCACACGGTTTACAACTTCCCATGTGAAATTTAAGATGGTTAAACACAATTCGCTCCATATTACAACAGGAATAGAAGCAAAAATCAGAAAGATTTAAGATACCTCAACTGTAACACTAGTTCACTCTTTCGAGTATTTACTTAAATCTTTACATTATATTCCTAAATTATATTCCAAAGTTTATGGCTAGACGCTCTATTCAAAGTCAGAGTTGGGTATCCCCTCCGATAAAGTCATAGTATGTTTTCAGAGGTTCTCAAAAAGTTTCGCAGTGTGCTCACTGCCAGGCCTTCCACACTCGTGTAAGATGAGCCATTCTCAGTACTATGGGGTCTACCTACTGCAGAGTACTTACTTTTATAATGTGTTACTGTCCTGAAAATACAAGATATGGACTAGATTTCACATCAAGATGTACTTTAGGGGCTGGATAGATGGCTCAGTGGTTAAGAGCACAACACTGACTGTGCTTCCAGAGGACCAGGGTTCAAAGTCCCAGCACCTACATGAACTAACACCCTCACACAGATAAACATGCAAGCAAAACACCAATGCACGCACGCATGCGCGCACGCGGGCACACACACACACACACACACACACACACACACACTAATTCTTTGAAAGATGTACTTTAGGTGCATCCTACCAGCCTCTAGAGCAAAGGAGGCCTCCTAGAAAGGCCTTTCAGCTGAGATGTCAGGCTGCCACTTCCACAGGAGACACCCCTCCAGGGGGCCAGGGGGGTGTGCTGAGTACACAGGCCACTCACTGTGCAATGTTATTAATATCGTTAACAACAATGTATCAATATCATTATTTAATAATTCAACTGCTTGTTTAAATCAACTTCGAGGTTAATATGAGTGATATTTAATTCATCATTTAACAAATGCAATTCAGACTCAATTTACTTACCTTCTTCAGGCCCGCAAAACCTTCTGATTCCAGAAAGAAAAAGGCAAAGGGCATCAAGACGAATAAACAAAGGTTGGAAAATAAAGAAGCAAGATTCCACAAACCTATAAAGATGGCAATAAGAAAAATAAGAAAATCGCATTAGATACTGACAAGTCATTTCAAAGTTCAGTAAATTGTGATGCTCATCAAGATCTATATTTTTAATAATAAAAATCAATACCTATTTGAAATGACTATCTAAACTTGGCACTTAGAAAATAATTATATATTTACTTTAAACATTTTTATCTGTGATTTGTACCTATTGGAGAAAGCCAATATAGAAACTAGCTTCTTTTCCTCACTCCCCCAACTAAATTAACCAAGGATCTCATATACACAGAGATCCAAAGACACAGATCTTTAGACATCAACAGGACTGAAACATTGAAATTAGAGCCACTGACTGGCACCTGCTTACCAGTCAGTAGATACCACATTCACACCAAGGTTTCATATACAAGACCCATTAAGCCTCAGAAGACAGCCTAGAGGGAAAAAACACTTCCTGGCACAAAGGCTTACTGCTCCAAGTGCCCTGTAGACCTGTACGAACTCATTTCTAGGCACAGGAGTCCCTGAGCAGGCAGCACTGCTGACCACAGCACGGAGGTAGAGGCTGCCCCGTGCCAAGCTACAGAACATGAGTATCAAGGCAGACTACCGGGAACCCTGGAAACCACACACAGGAGTTCTAACAAACAATTCCAAGTGGGAAAAACATATGAGCCCGGGGGGGGGGGTAGACAGGCTCACAGAGCCACTTCCCTTTTGGCCATGTTATGGCACAATAAATGGTAATGAAAATAAGCACATTCAGAAAGAAACAATTTTAAGTATGTCATTGGCAGAGTGTTTAGCCCAACATCTATTTTTTTTTTTTATAGGAAAAACACTAAAATTCAAAATTGAACTTCAAAATGATGGTTGTAATGTTTAAAATGGAATCAAAGTTAAAAGTTAAACCAATGAATTCAGAGCACCGCATGCAATTAAAAGTACCAACTCAAACTCCCCACTGCCGTGGCATGGGTTAACATGGGTATGCAGCTAACAAGGAGTTAAACTCCCAAACACCTGTACCACTCATCTAAGACTTTTATTATAGTAGACAAGGTAATTAATAACATCAATTCATAGTTTCTTATCCAGAGATCTAGATTTAATACATGTATTATATACATTTAATCTTTTCAAGGCCAAAAAAAGTAGTTAGAAATCAACATCTAAATATATTTTTCTTTTCTTTTTTTAAGACCACATCACATGTATCCCAAGCTGGCCTTAAACTCTTGATCCTCCTGCCTCCACCTTCTGAGTGCTGGGATTAAAGGCATGTTCCACCACACCTGGTTAATGGTGCTAGGATTGGAACCCAGCCTCTCATACATATCAAGCACTCTACCAACTAAGCTACATCCTCAACTACTGTCTTAACATCTTTAGTGAAAGACTAATATGAACTTGGTAAAGTAAAAATTGCTTTAAAACACACTTGTAACCCCATATACTAGGGAGGTCAACTGGGAAAACTACTAGGAATCACAAGCTCAGGGCCAACCTGGATAAACTTAGAGAAAATTGCCTCCAAAAGGGGAAAAAACTGTATTTTCTTTATTGGTGAGCTTTAATTACAATCACCAGGAAGAGCATGTAGAATGAGAAGAACTAAATGTACAGACCTAAATCACAGACTTGGCTGTGGCAACCTTGCCAGGTTCCAGGTTCCTCATCTGAGGCTTTAACAACATTTGTATGGACATCATTAGCATTAAATGGAATAAGACATGGCTGACAACTGGATCAATGCCTCCAAGAACAAGTACTTCATGCTTTTCTGCTTTTATTAACCATCTTCCCCAGGGGCACCTAATTTGCAGGACTGTTAGATCCTAGCATGCTAGGATCACCACTATCTTGCCTTTCCCTCTTACTCCACCGAGGTGCATCAACTCCTGGTTTTCGTTACTGGCCATCTACATGTGTCTATCCACAGTCTCCCCACGCCCAACCTGCTCTGAGTGAAGGTTTCAAGACACAATTTATCAGGAACTGTATCTGAAGAAAGAATAAAGTCCTAGATCAAAGCTGTGGGTTGGGTCCAGTTCATAAACTTTTGTGAGTGGACTCTCATCCCTTTTTTGGGTGTTGAACATTATTTTCTTTAAGGCCATCCAGATTTGTGAGATTGGGCAGTAATTCCTTGCATCATTGAGACACATCTAATGTTGATATGTAGCTTTAGGTATGGTGGTAAACAGAGAAACAGAAATTTAAATAACCTGTATTATAGAAGATGCCATGTGTCAGGATACTCAACTTAGAGGAAATAGTTTTAATGCAATTAGATGGCATATGCCCTTTCAGAAAACTACTTTTTAAAAACAAAGAAACTATCTGCATCTGTTTAAAAAAAAAAAAAAAAAAACCTACTGTAGCAACATGGGACAGTACCCAATCCTTCAACAAGGGCTCTTGCTCTACAGTCAACCTCAGGTTCAGAAATGTCAGATCAGGGCTGGAAAAATAGCTTAACAGTTAAGAGCATGTGCTGCTCTTTCAGAGAACCCATGTTCAATATCCATCACCCACATGGTAGCTCATAACCATCTGTAACTCCAGTTCCAAAGGATCCAATACCCTCTTCCAGCCTCCATTGGTACCAGCCTCCCTGGGAACAGGAACACGCATGGTACACAGACAAACATGCAAACAAAACAGGTACATATAACATTTTTTAAATGTTCAAATTTTAAAATTAGTAAAATAGTTCTTTTTTAATGCAAAACTGAAAGAAAACCAGATCTGAAGTCAGAAAATGGCTATACTGCACTTACTAATTTGTTCAGATATCCTTGGGCAAAATAAATCCAATTTCCTAAACTTCTCCTACTAATTCCATATGTCTGCAATTTTTCTTATTTATGTGCATGCATGTGAGCCTATACATGTGTACCATATATATGCAGGAGCCCTCAAAGACCAAAAAAGAATGTGGGTTCCTAAGAACTTGAGTTACAAGTGGTTGTGAGCCACCATGTGGATGCTAGGAATCAAACCAGGCTCCTCTGACAGAAACCAGTGCTCTTAACCATTGAGCCATCTCTCCAGCCCATATCTGCAATTTTATAATGAGAAATTTCCACATCCAAGCTCTGTAATACATCATACTGGTCTTCATCATTCAAGTCCCCAACTCCATCCTTAGAGCTAACTTTTAATTGTTTATATGAAATGAAGACAACCACAATGTGTATAAAAAAATAAAACATGTTCATCCTCACTGAGCAGTAAAGTATACACAGTGCTCTGGTTCAGATGTGGTTTGAATGTACCTCCCCAAGTGCCCAAGTCTGGGAAGCCTGGTATCCAGTGTGGCAATTTTGAAATGGTGGAATCTTTAAGAGGCAGAGCCTCCCAGAAGATGATTAGATTCTAGAGAGCAATGTCAAAGAACTAATACTTTTCTCATGGAAGTACATTCTTGTTCTTACAAAAAGTCATTGTAAAAATGTACCATTAGCGTGGTATACTACTTCTCTGGTGGGCAAGGATCAGGAACAGGACCCTCATGAGGAGACCCATATTCCTGACTGCCAGAACTATAAGGCAGACCTTCTTTTTAAAGCACCAACTCCAAATGTTGTTACGGCACATAAATCTGACTAATGCACAAAGTGTACAGTTTGGCAAGTGTTGACTCTATACCCACAAACAGATAATGAACATGTCTATTGCTCCAGACATTTCCACAAACCCTCACGGAATCTGTGCCTCCTGCCCTCTCTTTATCACCTTCCTCACCCAGCCAACCACTGATCCTACACTTCAAAAACTAGGTTTTCTACACTGATTTTTACGTTTTGTCTGGCTTCTGTTCACTGTGATCTGTGTCCATAGCACAGACCATACCAAACCTTTACTGAATTGCCCCACCTGTAGATGTCATCTTAGTTGTTCCCACCTTGTCGTTATTACAAATGAAGCTATCACTAACTATGCATGTTCAAACCTTGCAGTGGACACAGGCTATCACTCTGAGTAAGTGTGCAGCAGAGGATGGCAGAGGATGGGAGCTATTGACATTTTAGGAAACTGACAATATGGTTTCCAAATTGGTTGTATTTTCCATTCCCATCAGCAAAAGGAAGTTCTTCACATGCCCTGGAAACAAATCCTTTAACAGGTATCAGATCTGCAGGTGTCCTTTCCCAGTCCATGGGTTGTTTTTTGAAGAACAGGTTACCAAATTTAACAAAGCCAAACTTAACAACTTTTGCTTGATCCTGATGCACAGTGGTGACTCACAGAGACTCTCCTGTTTGCTCTGTACCTTTTGAGCTTTTACAGTTTACATTTAAGTCTATGATACTGCAAGCCACTTTTTTTATGCGGTGCCAGCTACAGACTAAAGGTCAATTTTTGTTTATGATTATCCAACTATTCTAATTCTATTTGTTAAAAATATCCTTTACCAACTAAATTTTATCCCTGTACCTTTGTCAGAAGTCAATTGGCAATACATGTGCATGTGCTCTTGGACTCAGTACCCGGCTGGGTTGACCACTGCTCAGTCTTTATGTTGCTATCACACTGTCTTGATCATCAGAGACTCAAACCCATATTGAAGTAAGAATTCCTCTAATGTTTGGACCATTGAAAATTCATTGACTTCTCATCTAAACTTTAAATCAGTTTAACCAATTTCCACCTGTGAAGAGACACCATGACTGAGGCAACCCTTACAAAGGAAATATTTAATTGGGGTGACTTGCTTACAGTTCAGAGGTTCAGTCTATTATCATAATGGTGGGGGGCATGAAGGCATGCAGGCAGATGTGGTGCTGGAGCTAAGAGTCCTACATCTTGTAAGCAACAGGAAGTTGACTGACTGTAACACTGTGGTAAGCTTGAGAAAGAGACCTAAAAGCCCACCCAAACAGTGACACATTTCCTCCAACAAGGCCACACCTCCTAATAGTTCCACTTCCAAGCCACCACACCATCCAAAATGCCTATTGGGGTTTTGATTGGCATTGTGTTGAATCTACAGATTAGTGAG